CCTAGTAGTATTATATTAGATAAAGATATAGTGTTTATTAGTACTTTCTGGTTAACCTTTTGCTTTTATATGAAAATATCATACTGGTTTAGTATTATATTTCATCTGCAAACGGATGGTCAGATAGAATATCAAAATCAAACTTTGGAATATTATCTATAAGCATATTATAATACCCAGAAAAAAGATTGGATGAAATACCTTCTATTAATGGAATTTATATATAACAACTTGTATTATTCATTGGTTGGAATCTTATCATTTTATTATTGCTATGGATATAATCCGGATTACTCTAAAATCCTGAAGGTATAGATTCTGGAGAGGAGATATTAGTAGTAAAGAATTGGGTTATAGCTTTATGAGAAACCTGTATAAAATTACAGAAAACCTTATTTGAAGTTTACAAGGCCCAAAAACGATATTATAATAAGAAATATAAAGATATATCATATGCTATAAATAACTAGGTCTTATTATCCACAAAGAATATCCGGATCAAATCAGGAAAACTAGTGTTTAGAATAATAAGCCTTTTTAAAATAATCGATATCAAGAGTCAATTTGTACATAAACTAGCCTTACCCTTTTTATATATTACTTTTAGAAAAGTATTATAGCAAACCCAATACTGATCCGGGAGATTATCCTGTAAGAGAATATCCTGAACTAGAAAAAGATGAAGAATAAAAATAGGAAGTGGAAAAGATTGTAGATTATTATATAAAGAAAAAAGAAATCGAATATCTAGTACAATAACAGAGATAATCAACCGATTACGATATATGATTGCTTATATACCCTAATCTAAATAAGGCCAAAAACGAGATCAAACTATATAATCAAGATTATTATATCTCTGAACCAAGCCTAGGGAAAATCAGGAAAAAACAAGTATATATAAAAAGCTTAAAAAAAGGTTAGCCATGAAAGAATACTTAGTTTGAGACACTCTTTTTCTATAAATCTGAATAGTTTCCTAAACCTAGGTTTTCTAAGGAAATAAGTTTTTATTGAGATTCAAACTAATAATGAAAAAACCTAAAACAAATCTGTTCATAAAGTATAACCAACCCGAGAATATTCAGATATAATAATTGTAAAACATTATTATCTCCAGGGACTCATTAATGAAATTCAACCGGGATCAAGCCAGTATCTCACCTGAAAACATAGAATAGTATTCTGATTGCGAAATGCCTTAATTAAAGAATTCATCTGATATAATATATTTTATTCAAAAGATAGTAAATTCGTTTCCTTCTTTATTATTTGGAATAAATCTCGCAACTTTTTTAAGAACTTTTGAGAGATAGAATAGAGATTCTGCTATTCAATCGGACTATTTCCAGACTAATATCATTTGTTGTTTGTGCAGCACTTCAACTTTCTAATAACTGAAATCCTAGTCTTTCGGACTCTATCCCTATAAATAATATCAGAGTTTATAACCAATACAGAGAAGTCAATCTGATAATCTATGTTATTACCAGGATCACCCTTTTGCCAGTTATTATTTGGTAATTCGAGATTAATCTTTTCCTAATCCAAATATATTTTGATATAAATAACAATCTGCCTTATTAAAGATAAGAGATTTATAAGGATTTATTATTAAAAGTTAAGTAAAATCCAACCGGATTAATTCCAAGTTACTTATTTTTTTGCATCAGTCTTTCTGAGTATTGTAATATTCACAATTGAATGAATTCTCCTCTATTTCATATATATAACTAGGGTTCAAATAAAGGTGTTTGAGATACTAGAAACAATATAAACAAGTAGAGAAGTTGTCTATAATAAAAGTACAAAAGTATATAGAAAGATCTGTTTGTAATATAATTATATCAATAAAGTTGTAAAACAGAAATTGATAAGGAATATATCAGGATTAAATATAGGAGACCTTAAGGAAACTATGTTATTAGGGAAAGTTTGTTATTGTTATTATTTACTATTTCCAGAAAAAATATAATAATATATTATTGCTATAGGAACTTCCCGGAGTAGTTGTTTATATTTATTATATTTATTTGTTTATAGATAATACAAGCCAAACCACAAGAATATAATTATTGAAAAGAGTATTATATCACTATTTAGAGATTAATCCTTTTCCAGGGTTTAGTTCGAAAAGTATAGATATAAAAGGATACAAAGTATCCTTTTATATCCTTTGTTTTTTTATTAGTTAGTTTATGCTGAAATCTATAAAGAACTATTTTTATACTACTATGGTAATGGTATGAGTTCAGTTCTGTACAAACTATATCCTAACTGTAATACTGATACTATTCGGCCTATTCCCTACTTGTGATCCCTCATATTTTCTAAAAAAGATTTCAATATATTATTTAGATTTTTTAGATTTTCTAAAAAAAGTATTTAGATATTACTTATTTAGCCATAGTAGACTATAAGGCTATAAACTAAAGCAATAAGCAATATTATATGAAATACAATAATACTATTGATTTTATTACTATTATAGTAATATTAATAAAAAGATTTATTATATATTCTTATTACATATTTCAAGATTGAAAGAAAAATATACTAATATAATTGATATTTTGATATTATATATAATATCGAATTTTTTATACCCCCTCCCCCAAAAAAACCTATATAAAAATAATTTCCGATAAAAGATTTCATACCCGGTGAGGTTATATTAATCAAAGCCTATAATAAAAGCCTAAAAAATTCTTTATAAAATATAAAGCCTAAATTAAAAGCCTAAAAAAGCTCACCGGGAGTAGTTTACAGAATATAAAGCCTAAATTTAAGCCTAAAGAAAATATCATTTTTAGAAAATCTAAAAAATAATTATATAGAATATTCCATATCCTCTTGTTATAGGATATAAGTGATTATTATTATATTAAAACCCTTTCATTTACTTGAAATTTTTAGATTTTAATAAATTTTTAGTTTAACTCAAGTTATAGGGTTTATAAAGTCAAATAAAGTTTATATAAAGTATATATAATTATTTTATTTATTATTTTATCTTTTTTTTTCATTTTGAGTTTAATTCAAAGACTTTGAGATAATTTCAATTTATATAACGTGGTT